CTCACCTCGGCCTCCCAAAGGAGCAGGATTAGAAGCTGAGCCACCGAGCCCGGCTTGACACTTGTGTCTTATATGACACTGTTTATACTGATGTAAACAAGAGGCAGATATGGTGGAAAATTTGTAAAAAGTATGGCAGTAGCCTGGAAATGCAGACGGGTGAAGACAGGAATTAATGAGGCGTTGCTCACAAGCTCCTTGCTTCTGGAAAGAGCAATATTGTTCCCATTATAAGCATAGTGAGATCGCTAAGATTAAGTGTAGCATCTGCTCTTATCAGTTTGATATCTGATATGTCCTCTGAGGACAACATACTAAATGAATTTTTGGAGCAGGGAGTTAGGACAGGCGCTTGCTCCGACCACTCTACTCATCAACCTGGTATTGCAGTACCTCCGGAAATGGTGCACCTCGCAGGGACATAACTGGTTCTAACAGCAGAAACTCAAGCCTGCTTTTGGGACTCTCTTGTTTAGGAGTTGTAAAGACTTTTGGGTGGGCCAGGCATGGTGGCTGACACCTATAATCCCAGCACTCTGGGAGATGGAGGCCAGAGGATTATTGGAGCCCAGGAATTCAAGACCAGCCTGGGCAACTTGGTGAGAGCTTGTCTCTACAATAAAAAAATAATAATAATCTGGGTGTGGTGGTGCACACCTGTAGTTCCAACTACTTGGAAGGCTGAGGCGAAGAATTGTCTGAGACCAGTAAGTTGAGGCTGTGGTGGCCGTGAGCATGCTACTGCACTCCAGCCATGGGTGACAGAGTGAGCCTCTGATTCAAATAAATAAATAAGTAAATAAATAAATAAAAAGGATGGTGACGATGATGAGCATCCGTGTCTTCAGTGAGCCTTGATGGTGTTGGTGATGTGTCTGATCTTTTGTGGCAGCCCTTTGCATTGCTCAGGTAAGGGTGTCCCTGTGCCACATGCACCATCCCTACAACTTTATTTTCCCTGTTTTATGCCCCTGCTTGGAGCTTCTAGCTGCCTTCAAATTCATTAGAGATAGTACTCTTTGGGGCTGTTTTGTATGCTGAGTTATGGAGGTAACCATTACTTACCACAAAGAAACCTTAAGTCATGTTCAGGCAAATCTCTTTGACTTAATTATTTTGGCGTGAAATAGTCTCCTACACCTCATGAACTAGGTCTCTCTGTAGTCTACTTCTCCACCCCCCTTCTAAAGTTCCCATTTCGTTTTGTAAATAAAAGAGTGGAAAACATTGACAAGATAATACACATATCCTAAGTCTCCACTTACAGGATATTTGCTTTAGTTTATATAAAATCTTAATCAATAATACAGAAATCTTCATATTTAAAAAAAAAAAGACACTATGTAATAGTTCACTTGCAAGTAACTGGCGATAACCAGGTAGGAAGACTAATAATGTGACATATGATTCTACATGTTTTTATTGGTTGACTGGTGTTTTTGTTTTTAGTTATATGCAAGGTGGCAGGTGGAGGGGACTCACCTGAATAAATACTATGGAATTCATCCTATAATATCAGCATGTATATACTATTTGAAGAAGTTAGGCTTGTAAAAGCTTATGGACTCTAAAAACATTATTTTTTGTACTAATAGTTTATGCTTATATGACACTTATTGTACGTCACATACTATTTTAAGTATTTTATACACATTAATTTAATTTTCACAGTAGTACTATAAGGTAAATACTGTCTGTTATCATCATCACTTTGCAGATGACAAAACTGAGGCACAAAATTTTGCCCAAGTTCAAACAGCTAATAAGTATCAGAGTCAAGTTATATGAGTCCCTGCCCTTAACCACTACACTCTACTATAGCCCAAGCATCCTTTATCCAAAGTGTCTAGGACCAAAAGGATTTTGGATTTGGGGATATTTACACACACATAATGAATTATCTTGGGGATAAGACCCAAGTCTAAACATGAAATTCATTTATGTTTCATATATACCACATACACATAGCTGGAATGTAATTTATACAATATTTTAAAAATTTTGTGTGTGAAACCAAGTTTATGTTAGTACTTATGTGTGAAATTTTTCACTTTTAATGTCATGACAGTACTCAAAAATTTTCAAATTTTGGAGAGTTTAGGACTTTTGGATTAGGGATATTCAACCTGGATTTTTGGATTAGAGATACTCAACCTGTATTCTCTCTGGGTTTTTTGTTTTGTTTTGTTTTTGTTTTTGAGTCGGAGTCTCACTCTGTCACCCAGGCTGGAGTATATTGGCATGCTCACAGCCACCACAGCCTCGACTTGCTGGGCTTAGGTGATTCTTCCGCCTCAGTCTTCCAAGTAGCTGGAACTACAGGAGCATGCCATCATGCCTGACTAATTTTTTGATTTATTGTAGAAACGAGGTCTCACCAAGTTGCCCAGGCTGATCTCAAATCTCTGGACCCAGGCAATCCTCTCACCTCAACCTCCCAAAGTGCTGGGATTACAGGCTTGAACCACCATGCTAGGCCACTATCTGTTTTTATATACCCGGCATGAATTTGCAGAGAAACCAAACCATTATATTCACTTTAAAATTCTCTGAGATAATAAAAATCAAACAATAAACCAAATTCTGCCTCCATGATCATCTTTATCCCTTGTGAATGAATTTTTTCCCGACAGTTACAAACACTTAGGAAATTAAAAGAAAATACATATTTTAAACATAGGAAAACTTTGATCCGAACGAAAAAGTCATATTCTACCCAATGTTGAAGCATAGTGTTTCTATTCCCATTTTGGGGATAATTTCAGTTTTTTCTGGCCACATCCTGGATGGCAATGGAATAATTTCATAGAGCTCTTATAATAGTGAATATCTATGTCAGTAGATGGTTCATCCAAGGTGAACCTGGTTCATTAAAAACATGTAAAGGAGGCCAGGTGCAGTGACTCACACCTATAATCCCAGTACTTCGGGAGGTCGAGGCAAGAGGATTGTGTGAGACCAGGAATTCGAGACCAGCCTGGGCAACTTGGCAAGACCTCGTCTCTACAAAAAATTAAAATAAATTGGCCGGGTGTGGTGGTTCACACCTGTAATCCCAGCACTTTGGGAGGCCAAGGTGAGAGAACTGCCTGAGCCCAGGGGTTTGAGACCAACCTGGGCAACTTGGTGGGACCTCATCTCTACAATAAATAAAAAAACTAGTCAGGCATGATGGCGAATGCCTGTAGTTCCAGCTACTTGGAAGGCTGAGGCAGAAGGATCACTTGAGCCCAGCAGGTTGAGGCTGCGGTGGCCGGGAGCATGCCACTGCCCTCCAGCCTGGGCGACAGAGTGAGACTCCAATTAAAAAAAAAAATTAGCTGGGTGTGGTGGGGTGCGCCCATAGTTCCAGCAACTTGGAAGACTGAGGTGGAAGGATCCCCTGAGCCCAGCAGGTTGAGGCTGTGGTGGCTGTGAGCATGCTACTGCACTTCAGTCTGGGTGACAGAGTGAGAGTCCAACTCAAAAACAAACAAACAAACAAACAAAAACATGTAAAGGAAAGTGACATCCGCCTCTTCCCCCCACCCTATCTTCCCAGTGGTAGTTTTGTTTCTTCTTTGCAATGGCTTCCATCCTCTCTATTTTAATTTTAAGCAAAATTTCAGTGTGGTACCTCCAGTAACTGATACTTTAAAAAAAGCAATAGGGAAGCCAGAGGAATAGTAGGAGAATAATCATGCTTTTCAATAATTTAAAACAGGAAAAGGATGCGGTGGCTCAAGTCTGTAATCTCAGCACTTTGGAAGGTGGAGGTGAGAGGATTGCCTGAGCTCAGGGTTTCGAGACCAGGCTGAGTAACATGGTGAGACTTCATTTCTACAATAAATAAAAAAATTAGCCGGGCATGGGGGCACATGTCTGTGGCTCCAGCTACTTGGAAGACTGAAGCAGAGGGATCGCCTGAGACCAGCAGGTGCAGCATGCCACTGTACTCCAGCCTGGGTGACAGAGTGAGACTCCAACTAAAAAAAAAAAGAAAAAAGAAAAAGAAAAAGGAGATTAATATTAAGATGTACGAATGCACAATGGGGTGGAGGAATGCTGAGTGAATGAATTGTATATAGTATGTATGTAACAAACACTTCTGCCTATTTCACGCTAGACAACATAAACTAAAGATGACTAAGTTCTGATTCAAAACAGGATCAAAGATATCTATTTCTTCTCCGTTGTCATCAAAAGAAGACCTGACCACGTGCACAGTGTATAAAGCATGCCAGTAGGAAGATTAACTTTACTGCCAGGCATTGTAAGGGAAACAGAAACACACATGTGGTTAGATGGCAAAGGAGTTGAAGAGGAATTCATAGTAATATAATATGAGGAAAAGGGCCTATAATTGCTTCGCCAATGATACTACAGAAGGCTTACAACCCAGGCGAGTGCGATTTAACCTCATGAAATAATTTCAGAAAAATTAAAATGAAATAATAATGTAGCATTTTACTATCTTCGTGTTAATCTTATAACATTTTGACTTTGATTCGAGGCCTGCCGCCGACAAGGGTGTTTTCGAGGGATCCTCCGCGGCATTTGAGGGATCCTCAACCCAAGTGCCTTGTGCTTCTCTGCCCCAAACGTGCCTGCCACCGAGCTGCGCACGTGGTGGCACTCAACCCCGCACTGACGGATTTGACAGGTGGAGGTGCGACAGGGAAGGAGGGACACTGAGCGACCCAAAAAGGCGTGTAGAGCAGAACGTGGGAGGGGGTCGTCTAAGGTGGATTCAGACCGAGGAGGCCGAAGGGCGGTGCAGGGAACGAAAGACCCAAAGCCCCGGCAGCCTGAAAACGAGTTGGGCACTGGGGACCCACCCGGCGAGGAGGCGGGGCGCGGCGCGGGGGGCGGGGCCGGCGGGAAGCCCTCCCTCCGAGTAGCGGAGGTGACTGGTCGGCCGGGGGCGGGAGACGCTCTGTCCCACGCTTTCCCAGCGCTCGGTGGTTTAAAGATGGCGGCGGCGGCGTTGGGGGCGAGGAGCCGCGGGAGGAGGAGGGGAGAGGAGACTCCATGAGTCGCCCGGAGGCAGCGCCGCGGCTGCTGTGAGGAGTCCGGCTGCGGAGCCGCCGGCGGCCCGGCCGCTCAGGGCTGGGGCCTGGGCCGGGCAGGGGAGGCCGGAGCGGCGCCGGGAGCCCGAGGCCGGAGCCGCGGAGGAGGAATGTGACCGGGGGTCGTCGGGGCGCGGGAGTACGCGAGCGCAGGGATGGGGCAGCAGGTGGGCCGCGTCGGAGAGGCTCCGGGGCTCCAGCAGCCTCAGCCCCGCGGGATCCGGGGCAGCAGTGCAGCCAGGCCCTCCGGCCGCAGGCGGGACCCGGCGGGGCGTACCACCGAGACCGGCTTCAATATCTTCACCCAGCATGGTGAGTGGGTCCGGGAGCCGGCGTGAGGCGTCGGGGAGGCCGGGACGGGGTGGCTGGCGGACGGGCAGACCCAGGGGGTCGGGGGGTGCCTGAGACTTTGGGGGCGGAATCCTGCCATCTGGGCCCGTCACCGGAGGAGAGCTGCACCCCTCCCCCCGCCGGTCTCCAGTCTGGCTGGCAGCTCCTGGGGGCGGCGGAGGAAGGAGAAGTGGTCTTGGGGACCGTGGATGGACTGTCCTTTACCCTGGGACAGGGCTGTGGGTCTGGAGGAGGACGGTGAATAGTAGCCCCAGGGGAGGGAAGGATGAAGGGAGGCGTGAGCTCAGCCAGGGAGGTGGGAGTATAAACCAGTTGTTAGCCAGGGGAACAGGAGTTGTATCCCAAGGGATAGCCCAAGGAATTGGGAGATGGGAACCGAATCTCTGGAGGTTGTGGCAGATAAGGTCTACGTATAAGTCAAGTGATGAGCAGTGTCAGGATAGTGAACTGTGAGCAGTGCCCTAAAATACCCTTCTGTAGGAAAGATAAGGGCAGGATCTCATCACTTTTTGATATTTGTGTGTTACTGTGTGCATGTGTTTTACTAGAAATGAAGGGTTTTGCCCAAGCTCTTTACTGCGCTTCAAAGTAGGGCACACAATTCTGAGATGACTGGCAGAGCCTAGAGGTTGATGGGCCTGGTTAGGACTTTGGTAATGATATGAATAAGTTTTTCTTTGTACAGTATATGTGTTTGCATATGCATACATACATGTATATATTCTCTGTGTAGTCTGGAACCTATTACTTTGGCCTTATTATCTATGTATTTTTAGAACAGTTGTCTCCAAACTCTTTTGTTATATAGACTCTTATCAATGAAAATTTTGAGCCTATATTTTAATAATTTATGTATCTTTTGTTAATTATATGTAGGTACTACTGTACTAATATGTTATGCATTTTATAAACATATCCAAAAATAGAATTTGAGAAAAGATGAGACAGAAAATAATTTTTTAGAATTATATATTTTTTTCCCCTGCAGACCAGTGGATCCTCAGAGTTGTAGTCATGCTACTTTTGGGACCACTTTTCTAGAGGAAGAGTAGAGAAGGGGAAAGAACAAAATTGACTTTCAAGGGGCTGAGATACACTAGATTCAGAGAAGCGCTGAAGATACAGATGTCAATTGTACAGAAAGGCCTGGATAGTTGAAATTGAATGAGAGGTAGCAAATTGAACTTTCCCTGTAGATTCATATACAGAATAATAAAGGATAAAAGAGGTAGAGTGTTTTATATTACACAATTTAGGAAAGAGGAGGAAGAGATGGAGTTTTGGAGGAATTACATGTAATGGTAGATGGTAGCATGCAAAGAAAGAGATTAACCTAAGGATCTGAAGCTGCTGGGTGAGTTGTGTCAGAGAGTTCTGGGTTTCACCTTTGCGAATAAGCTGAGTTGTGTCTTAATGGAGGAGATATAGGTGATTTGGAGCTACCCAACTTTATATATCTACTACTAAAGATGTGCTTGATTGTCTCTTTAAGGTTTGTGAACATTTTAAGGTGCTATATGAATTAGTCTTTATTAAAATCATTTCCCAAAACATAAGAAGAACGAATGGATTAATGGTTTTCAGGGAAGAAATCATCCAAGCAACTTTGCTTTGTGTGGCTATGCATTAAACTTGGCCCATTGGGCAGCAATGATCCTTTTTCTCTAGTATCTTATTCCGGCCTTAAGATTCTGTGAAAAGGAGGAAGTTGTGAAGAATGAAATAAGGGATTTTTAAGGATGGATAGGATTTGCATCTGTGGAGCAGGAAAAAGAGCAGGATGGGCAGGAGGAACAACTTGAGCAGGACCTGTGGGAATGAACATAATTTGTTGATGGGTTGATGAGAAGACATCTGTCAGGAATGAAACAGTGTTATGAGTTGGGGGAAAAAAAATCTTAGGGCAAAAACTGGAAGAGTCAAGTTCTCATCCAGCTCTACCTGACTGGGTGATTTAGCACCATCTTTGGATTTATTTGTAGATTGAAGAGCCTAGACTGGGTGATCTCTAAGTGTTAGGATTTTATGATTTTAATTGAGAAGTAGAAGGAAGAAAACTTTGAGTAGATTGGAGGTCACTGGGCTATGGAAAATCTGGCAGAGAGGTTTATATCAGTTTGCTTGATTGACTAGTTTATAGGATATCTCAATAAACCCAACTATGAAATGCTGAAAGACTGGCCTTGAACGGAGGCAGTGAAAATAGAGAGATAAACTTATTTCATTTCATTCATTCAACAAACTTTTTGAGTACCTATTGTGTACTGGACTGTGGAAATGTTGCTGTGAACATAACAGAGTTCCCGCCCTCGAATAATTTAAATGATTATATTATAAAATATTTATGATTTAATAAAGAGGATAAAAGAAGAGACATCACTTTGGAGTACTTATTGAGGGCATGAACTCTGGAGCGATTGGCTGGATTTGAAACCTGGCTCAGCTGCTGGTGAGCTATGTACCTTGGGCAAGTTACTGAACTTTCTTGTGTCTTGGATTCTCCTTTTGTAAAATGGAGATAATAATTGTACCTAGTATGAAATAAGTTAATATATACAAAGCACTTCGAATAAATAGTACCTGGCACATAGTTTGAGCTAAATGTGTGTTAGCTGCTGCCATTACTTACTACTATTATTAAAAATAGAGGCTGGACATGGTGGCTCCAGTCTGTAATCCCAGCATTTTGGGAGGTAGAGGTGAGAGGATTACCTGAGCCCATGGGTTCAAGACCAGCCTTGGCAACTTAGCAAGACCTTATCTCTACAATAAATCAAAAAATTAGCCGGGCGTGGTAGCGCACACCTGTAGTTCCAGCTACTTGGAAGGCTATGGTGGAAGGATTGCTTGAGCCCAGCATATTGATGCTGGGGTAGCTGTGAGCATGCCACTAGGCGACAGAGTGAGACTTCAACTTAAAAAATAAAAAAAGAGATTGACTGGTCCCAGTGGCTCACACCTGCAATCCCAGCACTGTAGAAGACTGAAGTGGGAGAATCGCTTGAGCTCAGGAGTTCGAGACCAGCCTGGGCAACATAGTGAGACTTCGTCTCTAAAAAATAGAGATAAGTCAAAGATGACAACCAGAGTTTTGACCCTGGCTAACTAAGATGATGATAATTCCTACTGGCAAGTTTGGAAGTTAGGAAGCTGGTTGAAAAGATGGAAATAGGGCAAGTTGTTTGCCAAAGACTAGTATGAAAAGTTTGGACTTAGCAAATAATATAGGAAACAGGTGAAGTGAGTATGGTTTTTCATACAGATGGGTGTATAAAAACTTGCTGTAGATCAGGGTTTCCTTAACCATGGTTGGTTGACATTTCAAGCTGGATGATTCTTTGTTGTGAGGGCTATCCTGTGCATTGCAGGATGTTTAGCATTATCCCTGGCCCCTCCCCTCCAGATGCCAGCAGTACCCTCTTTGACCCTTTGTTGTTACAACCCACAACGTCTCCAGACGTTGCTAAATCTTGCAGGGAGCAAAATTACCCCAAGTTGAGAACTACTGCTTAGAAACGTGGTAGATTCTGAATTGAATGAGTAAATGAATTCGATTCAAAAGCTCCTCAGTGGACATATTGTTTGTCATTTACACAAAAAATCTGAGTCCTGAAATTAGTGTACAAATCACTGTTTTGAGTTTGCAGTATTGAGGTATTAATATAATTTCATATGTGAAAGTTAGATATGTCAGGTGCTTGAGTTTACATGTATGTTTTAATGTAAGTCGAATATTGTATTTAATCAGTAAAAATGTACATATATTATAGAAATGGTTTAACAGAGTCCATCATTTTTTTCTCTTTAGCCAAAATGGTTATTTTTTCATCATTAATGATATGTGGATAAGCTGTTGTAAAAATTTGCCTTGCCAATAGTGATTTTTGTGCATGTAATTTAGAAGGAATAAAAATGTAGGACCATTTTTGGTATAAAAGGAGTGAGTGCTGTATGACTTTTTTGAACTCTGCTATTAAACCTTTTTGGTGAGCTGATGTTTTTAAACTGGTAATCTAGGGTTGAATACTTACTTGTCTTTTAAATATTTGACATACCTTTTAACAGCTGAATGATTTCACTTCAACTTTCTTCTCTCACTCATTTTCTGAAAATTCTATTAAAAATTAACCTTAAATTATGAAGTTTTGAATAATACAAATTTTCTCTTAAACTCATTATTTTAAGTAGTCTGATTTATTTTTCTTTTGTATCTACATTTATATTTTAATCTTTGTAGAATGAAGGACATAGGCACCCCAGGTTGAAAATGATACTGTAGAAAGAATAGGAAGGCTGTTGCAAGAAAATTTTATTTATAGTGACCTAGTATAGTGGTCACTGATTCTTATAAGAACTGAACTTTTTTTTTGAGTTGAAGTCTCACTCTGTCACCCAGGCTGGAGTGTAGTAGCATGCCCACGGCCACCGCAGTCTCGACCTGCTGGGCTCAGGCAATCTTTCTGCCTCAGCCTTCCGAGTAGCTAGAACTACAGGCATGCACCACCATGCCCAGCTAATTTTTTGATCTATTGTAGAGATGAGGTCTTACCAGGTTGCCCAGGCTGGTCTTGAACCCATGGGCTCAGGTAATCCTCTCACCTCGGCCTCCCAAAGTGCTGGGATGCCACCGCGGCCAGCCAGGACTAAACTTTTAAAAAAGAAATCAACTGTTAGATTTTTATTAACCTCCAAATCTGTGCAAGTTACAGTTGTATGGTGGTGTCTGTATTTTTAGCAAAGTGACTAAATAAGTTATGGTACAGACTGTTATCACAGTCCAATAGACAGTAATATCCCAGGTAAAATTATGAAATCTGAAGTTTCTCCTTAACAATCTTCAGCCTGCTTTAGAAAGAAACAAGCACAAAACAAAAGAAAAACCAGCATCTCCTCCTCCCATTTTATGTTTTTTTCTCTTCACTCTCTTTATCAAAATAAGGAATGAGGATAATATTTGTGTA